GGCAGCCCGCATCCGCGTGCCGGCCGAGGGTTCTGACAAACCCAACTCGTCTCTTTCGGCACGCAGAAAATCACCGCGGAGATGGCCGCGTTTCTGCAGGAGCTGCGTCGGAAGGTGAAGGTCGGGGTCGTGGGCGGTTCCGACTTCGAGAAGATCAAGGAGCAGCTGGGCGATGACGGTGAGCAGGGCGCTGATGCAATGCCGCGCGCCGAGTCGCTTCCAAGGAAGCTGTGAAGGTTAAATGTCGGCTGAGCCCTTCCATTTTCCTCCTTCCTTGCTTTTAGCTTCTTCCTGGTTCCGTTGCGCCGCACTCAGCTGTGAGCACCGGCTTACAGGCGTTGGGAAGCTGCAGCCCGCGTTCGCGTTCTGCAGAGTCCCGGTGCCTTAGTGAGGGGCAGCGAGCAGTAGTGAAATCCTGACTTTGGGACAGTACCGTAGGAGGGAATTCTAACGTTGTCTTTTTAAAATGGAACGAGGTACCCACCATACACGTATGCAGGCTGCTCAGTGGTCAAACGCATCCCTGAAGGATCTGATTTTATTAACTGTGGGGTTTCAATGACTCTTGCTTTAGTCCTTGGAGAGGCATTTCCTTTTCTGTGTAAAAGAATGTATTTAGTGGTCTTTACTTAGTTGATGCCACTGATAGCCTTCGGCAACGCCCAAGTCAGTCAGAACTTGTTTGGTTTACAGGTGTTCCCCAGTAAGCCTTATCTTATCATCCTGCACTGTAGTAAGGTTCTCGCAGCTCTCGGCGCCTGCTGTAGGTCAGTACCACCGAGAGAACGACCGTAACAGCAGTGCGAGTCGCTCTCCAGCCGCTGCGCGCCAGGCTTTGCAGTGGTTTCGGTGTTCGGTCACTCCTTGCAGTTACTGCAAAGAGACGTATGTGCGGGAGAGGAAGAGCCTTCAGGCAAAAATACAGGTAACTTATCTGAAAGACTTCATGTGATTTGAAGCATGTGTTAATCTTGGAGAGAAACGAGGGTGTTTGGATCTGGTGCTCAGTGTTACGCTGCTGAATCTTTCATGCTTTACGATCTAATGCTTGCTGTGTTTTAACGTATTAAATGTGTAGGAGGCTTCTGCATTAAACATGCAGGGGAAACCATCAGTTACTTTCTTTTTGTTTGGTTACAGTGGTTGAAAAATTTGACTACGTTTTTTCAGAAAATGGGCTTGTAGCATACAAAGACGGGAAATTCTTAAGCAAACAGGTAAGTGTGAAATTTCCAGTAAAATGAGATTTTCCTTGTTGCTGCAGTGCAGTCCTCTATATCACCCTTCTGACTAGGGCCAAAATAGCTGCTGTTTTCGTCTGTTGCTTCTGTAACAGGTCATTCATTTGGTGCTCTGATTCACGTATGACACTCTGCACCTTAAACTTTATTCTTTGGGGTTTCCTCAACACCAAAAGCTATTGGAGCCTGGAGTGTCTAATCGAATAAGAACACTGAAAATCCTGGAACAGCCTTTCCCTAAGCTTATCCGTAGGAAACACGGCCAAGCCCTCTGCTCTTGGAGGTGCTATGGAATATGGCATTTCATAGCTGATGTCTGTTGGGCTTTAGGGTTCGGCAAGCTTCTTGCAGATCTCTTGTAGTTGCTTTTTAGTATTAATTCAGAGTGCACATTCTGATATGTTGCACATAGAAGGTAAATAGTCTGAATTAATATAAACGTACATCTGATTTTAGATACCCTAATCACCTTCATTGGTTCAACATAAGTAATGGAGATGAAAAATTTAAAAGAGATCCTGGCTGAAATTGCTGACTGGAGCAGTGGTTTCCAGTTTACTGCAGTAACGACCTGCATTTCTTCACGCTTGGCTACAGTAGACATTAACAGGAATTTTTTTTTAGGTCTGCTGTCTTTGGCCCACAGAGTTTCCTTCTAAAGCAGGTACTAGTAGGGAGCATATTAAATGAGAGTTTAAAAAAGCCAAAGTAAACAAAAACAAGAGCCTTTAGTTAGTACCATGTGTGCATCAACTGAGACTTACTTCTTGAAGGCGTGTTTCTTTGTGGTATTAATCGTGCCTGATTCTCCAATGTCTGTGTTTTCCATGTGACCTCTTTTTAGAATCTCAAGTTCTGGACCCTTGGTTGAATGGTATTTATTTTGTTAGAACATTCAGGGTCACCTGGGTGAGGACATACTTCAAGATCTAATCAACTACTGCCTGAGTTACATCGCGAAGATTAAACTGCCAAAGAAGAGGTGTGTGCATAGATGAGTCTCAGTGTCGCCATATGCTCCGTGTTACAGTGTTGAGCATCAACGTGTAAAGCAGGCTGCTGGGCAAAAAACAGACAATTTTTGTTTTAGGAACACACTATACATGAAACAGAGCTCAATCCAAGCTTCCAGCTGGAACACAGGATTTGAAATACTGATTGAGCACTTTATTGAAGAGGGAAGGAAGTTCCCTTTTGAAGTAGGTGTATTTCCTTGGCATGTTTGGAATTCAGCAGCATAGTGTTTTCCAGAGATGAGAAGTGTGCAGTAAGATCAGTTCTATGTCACATCTGACGGTGCCGCTGCTCAAGGCATTAATATGTACCATGTGTGAGGCCAGCGAGAAATACTGCCAAAGTTGCTCGAAATTTTTCTGCTTCACCCCAAAGCTGATGGACTGGCCTGTCAGTGTCTGAGATTTGGGTTGACAGAATGCTCCAGTCATACTTTTAAGACCAAATCATACTTGTAAAAGTCAGTAGGGATGATGTTGAGGTTGCCAGATTCAGATAAATGTCTGGTGCCAGAGGTATTGGTTCCTACACGTCATTTTTTATGCATACAGTGAGACACTGAAGGAGACATCTGAGTCCCATTTCTTCAGAATTAAACAAAAGTTCTTAGTGATATTCCATGTTTTAAGCAATTTTTCATCTATTTTCTGTCTCATTAATCAATTCTTTTTCAGGGGCACTTTTATTGAGTTCCGAAATGGGATGTTAAATGTGTCCCCCATTGGAAGAAGCTGCAGCCAGGAAGAACGAGTTGAGTTCTATGAACTTGATAAAGTGAGTTACAACTCTTGAAAAATATCCAACACTTCTGGAAGAGGCAGTTATGGCCAGGTTATGATTTTTAAAAAGCTTTTATACTTTGTGAAGTCTTTTTCATTCTAATCCTTTCCATGTGGGTTAACTAACTTCCTAGTTCAGACTTAAGGAAATATACAAGAGGCTTTTTGTTGCAATAGTTAACAATCATTACTTGCAGAAGGGATGGCTTTGGCTCATGTTTATTTTAACCCTACATCCAGAGTACCAAACAGGTACTCAACAGGAACACACAGGGTTCCTCAAAAACCCTGTCGTAGACGAAACCATACTTACCTGGAGTGCTCTTTAGTATACCAGCCTATATCCATTTAAATCAATAAAACTACTCCTTTTCTTGTCAACTCTTTAAAGCCTTCTAAAGCAAAATTTAAAAGCTGACATCAAACCATTCACCATTTATTTTCCTTTGTACACAGCTCATGCAAGGCTGAAATGAATCTGAGCCACAGTATCAGAGTTCTGTTCCCTGCTACGCCGTAACAACTGTTTCTGACCTGATACAAAACCTGAAATGTAGTTCTTCAAAAGCAGCCTTTGCCTGAGACTCAGTTAAGGGATGCTGACAGATACCTAAGCCCAAGCCATCCTGAAAATACCCTTTTTTGGAGTATATGGCAGCAGAAGATTAGCACGTTTTGAGACTCTTTCTGTTAAGCCTTAGCGTCCCCATTTGTGAAGCTGATTTTTACCAGGAGTTGAAGCAGCATACTGCCTTGGTATTCTAAGATTTTTAGATAGAAACGCAGATGTCACGGCATGTATGTGAAGTTTTGCTCTCATTTTTTACAAGCTGGTAACAGATTAAAGTGGCAATATTCTCAGCGTGCTTTCCATAATATAGCTGTATCACACTAGTCCTTGTGCTCAGAACTTTGGATGTTTTGGGGGTTATTTGTTTTGTTGATGAATTAGCACAGCACATAAGTGATTTTTTTTTTTTTTTAACAGAAGGAACATATAAGAGAGAAATTTGTAGCTGATTTACGAAGAGAATTTGCAGGAAAAGGCCTCACATTTTCTATAGGTATCACATTTAAAAGAATTTAATTTAAAACATTTCTTTTAAATCTCACTTAAATCATATCCTCATATGGATGTGACGTATCCTATCTCATTTGTGTGACAGTAATCTCTCTAGGGGTGGTTGCAGTCACTGCATGCATGTTTTCCTCTTAGGCTTTCATTTGGTATATTTTAATTGAAATCCATCAACAAAGAGAACTTTATTGCTTGTCATCAGTTCATTGTCTTAATGTCAGTTGTGTGACTGATGCTGCTCATTTTGAAATACATTACATGCCTCTGATTAGTCAGAGTTGTTTCTGTGAATCAATTTTGATCAGAAATACTACATCAGGGCTGTTCAATAGTCCTTGGTTCTTCAGTTCTGTAGCTGCGTTGTGTGGGAGGAAGGAGAGGAAAGAAAATCCAAAAGCAAGTGCAAGCTTAAAGAGAAAAGTGGTAATAAGGGGGAATTAATTTTTCCATGCATTTTTTCCCCTGCCCCCCACTATATTACCAAATTCTTGCCTTTTATTATTTTCAAAATTGTAAGAAAGTACACGTCCCATTAGCGCTGTGGTATTGAAACACTTAAGGCAAAAACAAGCTGCAATACAGCTCTCCGAAAGCGCGTTGTAAATACCTTTTTGAAACCCACTTCAGCTGAGAATCACACTTTCATGTATGGGTAAAGGGCAGAGATTTGGAAATGGAACATTTTGTCCCAGTCTTTGACATTAAAAAATATAAAGACAGATGTAATCTCGAGATAGGGTTGATAATAATGAAGTAAAAATTGTTGTCCTGTTAGGATGTGTTAAAAGGGCCAACTTTCTCCTTTTTCTATTCTGAAATCTTTAGACAGTCTTTTGCACAAGATTTCATGGCTGTACATACACCAATGGCTGTACTAATTCATGTAGTTTTTTCCTAAAAGTGAAAAGATGAAACGTAATTTTTAAAAAAAGGTTCAGTTTGTTGGAGAGCAGTCAGAGGTTGGGAATGTGCCAAGACTTTCATATTTGTTTAATGGGTAAATAGTAATCTGTAAATCACAACTGTATTAACTTCAGGGACTCGTAACATTTCTGCAAAGCTCCCTCTACCAAAAATGTCACCCTGTTTAGTTTTTCCTCACTTACTCTCCTCTCAGAAATGTGCTCTTGTAATAAGTTGGCTTGGTTCATGTCTGTCCTAGGGGGCCAGATAAGCTTCGATGTGTTCCCAGATGGCTGGGATAAGAGGTACTGCTTAGGAATCATTGCCAACGATGGATACAAGACCATCTATTTCTTTGGAGATAAGACTATGCCAGTGAGTATATTGTTTTGTGTATACATTTCAGAGCTGCTGTTTTCAGCCACAGTAGGGTCTAATCAGTTGCCTTACACCTGACAGGAACTGAAGTCAGAATATAAACGTGATCACGTGTCTGTGTTTAACTGGCTGTGCCATACTGGTCAGCATAATGCTGGCAGATAGCCACGAGCATAGCTTTTTCTTTTGTTTCCTGACGTGAACACAGTGTTCTTGACAGACTTAATACTGGAATATATTTTTAAATTGCACTTCTATAATTGTGTTAAAAACCTAGGTGACACGGCTATATAAAGCTCATTATCTTGTTTGGTTATTGTAGATAGATGCTTCTTGTTGGCTGGTGATTATTAAATGTATTTATTTTCCATTTAATTTAATACTGTTCCTTTGCCAACCACTCTGTCTCCACATGAAGGAACTGAAATTATATATAATCCCTGTCTCTAGTCATTGGAGAGAGCTAAACAACTCTGCAGGATGATTCAGAGGCTTTTGAAAATACTGAGCAGAGACCTGACTAGAGCTAGTGAGGGCAACAGCGAGCACAAGCACTTGGATGAAATTCAGGCTGTGTGAACGTGGCCAAGGGACAGTGTCAGCAAGAAAAGGCTTAGTTTTATAAGAACTTAAGAGTTATAAAACTTTAAGTTACAAAGAACTTTAGTTTTATAAACTTAAACAGGCTAAGTTTTAGAAGAAAAAGACAAGTTTTAAATGAAACAAGTTTTTTTTCCCCTTGACACCAGCTGCAAAGTAATCACCTGCCCCTCTGGCACAGAATTTATGGACAGTTGACCTTAAACGCTGTAATTGGCAGTGCAGCGTTTTCAGAGTTCTGAAGTAGCAGGAGTTGTTGCTGACCCTCTGGAAAGCAGCGTGGCCGACAACGTCCACAAATCAGGCACTGCTTCCTGTAGTGCACGAAGCTGTGGCTTTGAGGGACCTCTGCTCATGCTGGCAGCCAGCTGTGACAGGACCTTTCCTGACTTTCTGGTGATCAGAAACCAGTCACAAATATCCCATCAGGCCAGTAGCTAGCAAGGCCAAAACACTACTGCAATAGCAAAGGATCAATAGTATTAACAATGATTTAACTGAAAGGAAGAAAACCAAGTTGGACGGAAGAGGATAATGCAAATAAGTTACAAATACCACGTGCTGGTATCGTGTTCTGCAACAAGCTTTACACCTTAGTATTAACAAGTAGACAATTTTTAAAAGCCAATACTGGGTTGCTATACTAAGCTAAATACATGGCTAAGCTTATACTGGGAGTTCTGCTCTTTCATGAGCAATTTTAACATGCAGGTTCAGGAAGTTCTCATGCAAGTGTTTGTGGTGTTCAGCAGAAGTTTCAGCACAGGTGTACTATAAACACACTGTGCAAAATCTCAGAATGGTGGCTTGCAGTTTTTTAGCTTTCTGGAAGATCTCAGTCATGACTGTGATGTCCCTTTTTTTCTGTAGTTTTCTTTATGTGTCCCTTTTCCACCCCTAGACTGTGACTATACGTTAAGTTAAATAAATTTAAATGCTCTTCTGCTTTTTTCTTTTTCTCTTTTCAGGGGGGGAATGACTATGAAATTTTTACAGACTCCAGAACAGAAGGCCACAGCGTCACATCTCCACAGGATACAAGAAGAATCTGTGAAGAGCTCTTTTTTAAATAAGACTTTTAGAATTCACACTTACGAAACGGTTAAGCCAGCTTAATAACTGAAAATATCTTCCTTCATTCTATATTGCTTTTTGGTTATTGGAAATGAACAGCAAGTGCTTTGCAGGTCAGTCATTACTGAAGGGAAATGTTTGAGGAGAACCTTGCTGACTGGTAGCATACAGCAGAGCTCATTTAGTGCCATCTTTTCTCTGTTTCGATTTGCACAAGTACTTTTTTTTTGTTGTGGTTTTTGGGTTGTTTTGGTTTGTTGGGTTTTTTTTTTTTGGGGGGGGGGGGGGGTGGGTTTTTTAGGTTTTTAAGTCATCAGTAAACTTTCTTAGCTAATCAATTACATTGGCGGGGGTTGTGGGATAATCTGCCTGTAGTTGATTTATGGTCTCAAAATTGGCCTGCAAGGCTTTATCCCTAGTATTTATTTGGAAACTGCCATTTAAAAGATGAACTTTTTAGAGTTGTTTTGTTAAAATGCTACCCTTGTGCTATAAAGACATGAATTATACAACAGTTGATATTTTCTTGTTTATAACTGGAAGATGAATAAAAGAGGTTTTATTTCTCTCTGAGGGTGGGAAGGTAGAACTGAGCCAGAAGTCTCTGACCTCATACATGTTCCAGTGCATGGTCAGAAGGTGCCACCACTGGAAAGGCTGGACCAACTGGTGCTAAAGTTACCTCCTCAGTACAGTTGTGGTGCCAATGCACGCACAGTACGGTTCGTGGTACCTACACTTTTTGCAGGCTGTTTTTAAATCTAAAAAATAAGAAAAATTATAAAATTTAATTAAAACAACTTGAACATAGTAGCAAAATATATTTCTGTCACTCATTACCTTTCTGATTTTCCTAGTAAGACGCTAACAGTAGATGAGATTTTAATACTAAGAAAAATCACCTAACTGTTTCTATTAAAATTAAGTTGAAGCATTACAATCAGTGTAACTGTTAATATGACTTTTATCATCTGGCATTAGGAAAGTAATCTTGCGTATGAATAGTTTAATTTAGTAAAGCAGAATAAAATACCACTTTATCATGAAGAATTACTATTTCAGTTTGTCATTTTTTCACTACAGTCATGTGTGTGCACATACCTGCGTACGTTCAAATCTGAAAAGCTTGCTCGTCAGTCGTGCACAGCCATTGCTAACAGCTAAGGTTTGTCTTCCGCCTCTCATGCCAACAGATGAGAACAAACACTCTGAGGGGAGAAAAAAGCAGAAAGGAAAGCAACCCACAGTGTCTAAAACCTTGCTTCCAGCTTACTTTCTCTGTTTAAACAAACAGGGCAGGTACAATCCTTCCTCTTGGGTCCCCTTCCCTGAAGCCTGAGCTCTGCTGCAACATTTTTGAAGACTGGCTGCCCTGGCTCAGGAGCCCCTTCTGAGATGTTCTGGCCTTCCTCCCCCAGGTTTCAGTTGAAATGACCAGGCTTATGCTATCCTTCTCTGTCCTCCCTGCTGTATGTTAATAATAGCTAGTGTTAATTATTATATAGAGAAAATAAATGTATTTACAGAAGTAGTAGTATCTGTTACATGCTAACCTATTAAACAGCTAGAAAACTTGCTGAATTACTCTCTAATTGTTCTGGTAATGCCAGTCTGTTGATATTACAATGCTTTTTAAAAAAACTTTTAAATATCATCATACAGGCACCTCCCTGCTCTGTCTTTAATGCTAATCATCTTCAACGCCGACTACGCAGAGAGCAAACTGGAGACATATGTTAAAGCATTACAATGGTTGCATTTATTGTAAAGGAAGCAGTGTGTGACATTCCAAGAAGCTGGATAGCGTTAAATCCACCACTACTAAGTCTTACGGCTAATAAAAACCAAACAAAAACCCCAAACCCCGCTACAGGCTGGTCATGATGGTACAGTACAGTGTAATACAGGCACAGCTAAGGTAAAAGGAGCCATCACAGCAGTTACTAACCTCCAAACATCTGCTCTCCCAGGTCAGACCTTGGAACAGATCCTCTGCTGTGAAAGTCTGGAGAGATTTCATGACAGTGAGCACCTATTGTTAAAACTGCAAATAGGCAACTGAAGTTACACTGTTTCACACAACTAACAGAAGAGCATCATGGCATCTTTTTTATTTTTTTTTTTATTTGCAAAGTCAATAAAAATCCACTGTTAGGAACATAATAGAGAAAAATGCTTCATTTAAAAAAAAAAAAAGACATGGAAAGCAAATAGGAACAGAACTAATTTAGTTGCAGTACAACCACATGAAACCTTGCAGGCACAGAAAAGTCAGGGCAAAGG